GGGGGGGGGGGGGGGGGTGGCAAAATGCACCTTCGCCTGAGTTGGCAAAAATCCTTGCACCGGCCCTGTACAGCATATACTATATGTGGGAACAGTTTAACCTGGCAAAGCGTTTGTAACACTGTGCGGCAAGTTTTGTGGCCCAGACTGCCCTGCCAGACAGAGCAGGTAGGTTATACTATACTATATTAATGAAGCAAGAGCAGCAGTACTTGGTCAAGTCACTGGCTTAAACAACCACTTAGTCTGCTTATTGAACAATAAAGAAGCTGCGCCACAATAATCATAAGCATCGATAATAGCCAGTGAACATAAGTCACTGGCTATTATCGATGCTTATGATTATTAACACCCATTCAGCTGATTTTGCTAACACTGATTTAATTCACTTATTGGTGACCCCGAGCGCTGCACACCCAGTTACATACCATTAGACCCCAGTGTCTCTAGTACAGCAGCTCTTATATATATTTTTATTTAATTTAAGCATCCGTATTTATCCATAAGCGCGGATTATACATATTTCATGCGCCACAATGATGCAGTGATCCCTCTGCTCTCGCCTCCCATCAGCATGGTCACTGTCAGCACATGAATGCTGTTATGTGATTTTAAAATGAATACATAACTGCATTAATTATTTGTTTATGGCAGCTTGGAGTTTAGCTTCAGGTTCATTTACACCATGGGTCTATAAACATTTCACAGAGCCATTTGGCCTGCAAATCTCTGTGAAGGTTCATTCTGTGCTAATAAGGGCAAAAACGAATGTTCTTGGTATATTTTCTTTTCGGGTCGAATGTAATATTGCATTATGGCCACGACATAGAGCTCAGAAGAATAGGAAGTAAATACTTTTCCCCTGTGCACCTCAGCTCCATCTAGTGGCCATAATGTGGTACTAGATTACATTATGGTTGACCTTAAAATAAAATAAAGTAAGAGTGTACGTTTTGCCTCTATTTGCAAAGAACAAACATTTACAGAGCTTGCCAGGCTGAATGGCACTGCAAATTGTTTATAAATAGACCCCTATGTGTTGCTTTAATGCACATCTGTTAATGCAATGCTTTACCATATGTTAGGACGCACTGCGTTAATTTTGAATAGTTTGGAAGTGCACCCTAATGCATGGGAAAACGGAAATACAGTATTTTGTTTTTCAGTGCACCACAACGCACAGAAGATATATACCTGTACCTTGCAGTGCACTACAACGAGCATGGATTGTGCCCCACTTCCTAGGATGCCATTCATAAAAATGGTGCTACAATGCACTGCTTTATGGCATATTACCATAGCACAATAGTGTATTTCTAGCCCATTAACAAATACAATAAACGTTTATTGCATGAGTCTTGCAAATAAAACATAATTTGAAAACACATTTTGGTGATGTCATAACAGAGCACTGAATGTTTCATTCATGGGTATGTATGTGTGCTTTTGTATTGGAACTTCATACAAAATCTACACTTAGCCAACATACATTATCTTATACTTAAAGTACCCTATCCTGAAAGAAAATGCTGGCTGCCATTGCTGCACCCTCCTTCTATACCAATGAGGACTTCTGACTTCACTCTGGCACTCCAATCTCCTGCTTGTTCTAGGTCACCAACTTAAAAAGTACTGATAATAGAGATAGACTAGCCAGGCAATACATAGAAAGAGGTAAGCAATGGCAACCCTCATATCTCTCTCAGTAAAGGTTTTTTTTTTTTAGCTCCTGTTAGACGGAGGTATTAGCTCCTGTTTGTATTAGCTCCTGTTCGACGTAGGTATTAGCTCCTGTTTGTATTAGCTCCTGTTAGACGGAGGTAAACGTCACTCCATCTCAGCTTAGTGTAGAATTTGGGATTTGTTAAGGATACGTGACTGCCTTGATATTTTGGTAATTCATAATAGTTACAGTAGCCCCAGTGAAAGCTTCATGTTTGGGACATGACTGTTTAAAAGAACCTTCAGCAACAAGGCTGGTGTGTAGACAACATGAGGACTCTTCCTTGGTAACTGCCAATGGAGATTGAGAAGTCCAGACCCTTTCTCAATGCCCAGCCTTGATAATGGACAGTATATGGGTGGGTGGCATTAACCATATACAGTGCAGATGGACATAACTGCTGATTAGGTAACTTGACTATAAATACACTTAAGGTAAAGCATCTTGGACTACTTACAAAGGTGACATCAAAAGAGGAGTAGACTCTTTTCATGCAGGCTGTCATTTCTGCTCCATAATCCATGGGATAATGAAACACCACCGTTTCCTGCGAACCCGCCTCAGAACTGCTGGTTGAGTTGAGTAAGATCCTTTGTTCTCTCTCATAGGAGCCCTGTACAGTCAGAGCCAGTTCTGTTTTCTCTGAGAACATACAACAGGGAATACAATTTGAACAGACTGAACCTAGGTGACCTCTTTTTACCAAATCTTCAACAAATGGCCTATATAATGTTGCAAAAGCAGTAATGATGTGCAATAGACCATTAATATCACAGTTCTCTAAAGTCTAAGGGACATCTGCATTACAGAAAAGTTGGATGTGAGAATTGACTGTTTATAGAGAATTAACTATGCACACCAGCCGGCCAACTTCCATGGCCAACCTTGTCCATTAACCAGACAAAGCCCGCACACTGTCAAGTGATTGGATGCTGTAAAATGCGTGTGATTTTGATCACAGTGAGTTGAACTTGTTATACTGCAGACAAATTTTAGTTTTACAAGGACTCAATTATGTTTGTCATTCTCTGTCTATTAGTTTCTATTCATAGATGTCAATGATTTATTGCCAAACAATGCTCATCTGCTACTGTCAGTTCTTGCAGCATTTGTCAGTCTGTGTCTGTAAGACTGCATTGATATTGTATTAGTATGGTATTGTTGAATGAAATTTTGTTACCATTTACTGATAAGTTATACTCACTTTTAAAAACCTCTTTCTTCTGCTTTTTCACCATCACCTCCAGGGCCGCCATCTCTGGGCACTGAAAAAAAGAATCAGCAGGAATGTCACACACATGTCCTGTAAATCCCACTGCCAATCAATCTTTGAACAGATTAATGTTTCTGTGAGACACTATACTATGGACTCAAGAAACAATGATAGTGCCTGACTTATTTCAGGGTAACTTTAACTATTAACCAGTAACCTGGATGACAGGCTTTGCCACAGGAAACAATAAGCCAGGGAGTCAATTGATCATAGAGATCCAGAATTGCCAAACTACCAAATATGACTTGCAGCTGTCTACATTGTCAACTGTAATGTATTCATAGTTTGTTTTTTGTTTTTTTCAAATTGAAAGTGCTTATTGTATTTGGTACAGGTACAGTTCATAAATATTAGTGTTTTTTTGTATGGCAGTCACACTTGCAGTAGTGCCATCACCAGATGCTATGATACATCTAGGTAGTAGGTACTAGAAGGCAGTTAAATGTGCAGTCAAAATCTGCCCAACCTCAGTTTCCTGGGAACTTCACATGAATACTTGGCTCTGTTTATTCCAATGCAGAAGGGAAGTGGAGAAAGGTGCAATCATGCACTGCTGGGGATGCTTATATCAGGGGGGTCAATAGATTAGTAATTGGAAAAGGATTTCTGATCAACGATCAGCCCTACAGTGATCAGTCAGTTGCTATCTGCCTGGACCCATAGATAGGCAATCATTGCCCAGTTCAGCCAGCAAAGGTCTTATTGGACAATTGTGATGTAATTTCTATGACCACCTTAGTTAAACTGAAGTCCAAATAATCAGCATGCTTACCACCAACACTCCATTGGTTGTGACCTTCTTCCTTGTTTCTGGTCTGTGAAATAGAGATATTAATGAGACATTTTCATACACATATCCTAACCCTACCTTTGCCTTGAAATAGCAATTGCCTCAACCCTCCCATTGGCATGCCATGTACTGTAGTAATACCAAAACCATTGTAAACAACTGAGAGCGTCACAGTCATCTATGTGTGTATAAGCCTCCACAATATTACCGATGCCACCTCAATCCTGACTGCAGCTATGAATCTCAACAAGCCTATGCTGGACAAGTTTTTATTGTTGTAGTTCTCTTGGGGATCATTTATGAAGCAACACTTAATGATCCAAGGTATTCAATCACATTAGTGTATTCATGTAGACAGGACTTAAGCTACTAATGTATACAAAGATGGTTAATGTATTCAATTCAGTACATCATTTCCATTAGGACTTCTGTAGATGGGTAATAGCAGCATGCTTTCGTGTACATTCAGCTTGCATTTGAGATCAGTTTGAGAATCTTCTGAGAACCATCTGAGCTCCTTCACAGATACTTCTGACCTCTTTCTCACCTGCAGTTGTCCTTTCTAAGCTTCATCGAGATGCTTCTGCATTCTTATTGATTTGTGTGGACGAAAAAAAAACTGTTCTGATGCTAACAAATATCTGTGTACACAGACCCTGACTGTTGCACTGATCAAAGTTGATACTCACATGCTCACCAGATTAAATTCTACATGAAGTTCTTCCTGAAACTGAGAAAGAAAATAAACTATGTTAACCTCAAGACAAAGCCAAATCTTTTATTTTAGTTTGTGGATTTTCCCTTCATTTCCTGTCCCGGGGACACAACAAGAACTAAGAGGAAACCTCTCCAAGGTAAGAGCAAATCCAGATGTCCCTGGGACCAGTGTTCCAATTGTAAGATTTCAGCTGTAAAATGTTGGGCTCGACATCACTTTCTGCTGAAGTGACAATGGTGACCAGGACAAATAGAGCGGGTGAATATTCTCAACAGGACCACATAAAAAAAAAACTTGACCAGGTTTCTAACTTGTTCTACCTCCAAAACTAAATGGAAAACAAATTAGGCTTTGGGTACACTTTGAGGAAACTACAGTTTCATTTTCATTTTATCAGTATAGAGGTGAGGCTATGGTAATTAAACACAAAGCAATAAGTGCTTCAAAGTGAACCATCAGTCTCATTTATGCATTACCATTAGGTGCCTCATAAAATATTGACTCCCAGGTGTCCCAGGGATCTCTTAAAACCAAGGAGTGTGATCTGTGGAAATCTGAACTTCTGAGGGAAGTTAAAAGCTGGCACTCTTTCCTAAGGTACCGGATTAGCAAAGCACTCCTTGCACAGAAAACTCTACACATGGCAAAAAGCTTCTCTGATCAGGGACTTGTCAGGGTTAGGGGAGGGAAGTGAAACCATATCCCCAGGTTTGCAGTGCCTCCACCGCCCCAAAGACTCCTCCAGACCTCTGTAGTCCCCCCAGTACAATTTTCAAAAATACACAGCAAACATTCCTTTTTTTCCAGGGTGCCTTCTGTCGGATCACATGACAAGCATGGTTGTGTTCCTCATTTTTGCTTCTCCCGCGGTGGATGGTCCTCAATGCTGCAGAGGGCCGTGCTGACATCAGTGCTGTTCTTTGCACCATTGTACTGTCAGATTGGGCATCATTTACCCAGAATAGGACAAAGGAGGATGAGGCGGGAAGTGCTGGAGTGTGGAAAGGGTGATTAGCACTTTGCAATTTTTTTTCTTTTAATAGAAGGGTGCAAAGAACTGGATTTTTCAGTTCTCCACCAAAAAGGTGGAGATTGGCTTTAAATTAAATCACAAACCCCAAAAGTGTTAAATGTTAATGTCATTCCAAAGGTTGTTTTAAATATATTTACATCTGCAGTTTTCGTTAAAGGAACACCTACTGATTCTGCCATGATGGTCCGTGTTCAGGCTATGCTGTCACTCACTGCGCAAGCTAGGGTTGCCACCTGTCCGGGATTCACCTGTACAGTCCGGGTTTTAAATGTTGTGTCTGGGTTTCATGGCAGCTTAAACTCGGACACAAGATGTCAGGCAGACAGGGGCAACCAAAATTAAAATGGGGGCTACTGGCCCCCCACTGAAAATAGTCTTGGTTGTGATATTTACATATGAATGGCTGGCGCTATTCACATATGAATAAGCCACAACTCATTCTCCCCCTAAAATGCAAACATGTCCATGCGTAGCTAGAGTGTTCTGGTTTTGATGGAAGAAAAAGTGGCAACACTAGCGCAAGCATGGTCCACCGTTGTCACTGTTGGTAAATCAGTCCTAAGAAATGATATGCAGCCAACACTAGAGTGACAACACTAAAGGCTGGAAGAGATAAGCAGCACCGAGGTGCAAAAAACAGAAAGTTGAAACTGTGGGGGAATGGCAGTTGATCTACTTTGAGGTACAACTGGTGATGTGATGATGCATGATGTGGTAACAATACATGTCCCAAAGTTCACCGTCTCTGAGCTATATAGGAAACATAGTATGATCTAAGGAACGCACCTACAGGGACTTTTTCTACAGATCTATAAAACTAATAGAATAGCAGAATATAAAATAATTCAGGATTTACGCTTCAGCATGGAAACAAAACTGGTTACTGTGCATCCCCATACATACCTCTTTATTAAGCATGAAGCTTTCCAACAATGTTTCATTAACTGGGACATTTCCCAGATCATAGCTCACTGTAAACAGGTGGTCATCTGCAGTCCCTACATCCTCATCATGTAGTGACAGCTCCAGGATATTCTGTGACAAAAACAAATACAGAGACAATCAAATACTTATGTCAGAACTCTGGTAGAAAAAATAATAATAAACAAAATAGCCCATTAAAAGACAAAAAAACAATCAGAGCTGTAGCCTGAAGTACTTATTTCAACCACTAGATGCCCTCAGTCTTCCTGGTTGAAGGATGCTCATCATTCAACCCACCTCTTGTGAGCCCAGGTCATACTGGACCCACTCCCAGCCTGTGACTGTACAGTGAAGGAGAAGCAGCATGAGCTCATCTCTCTATCACTCTTCTTTCACCTCCTATCAGCATGGCATGTGTATTGCCTTTTCCTTTCCCAGCCTGAGCTCTGCTGTATAATGACTGCAAGAGGCTGGTACCAAGTCAGATTCAGGTACTTACACTACAGAACTGCAATAATGTGTGTCTTTTTTATATGCCTTGTGTTCAGCAACATCAAAAAAAATTACAGAGAAGGCACAGGAGGGCAAGGACTGACTCATTCGGTTTTGTAAGTATATTTGAGCTTGAGATTTAAGTACTCTAAAACAATAGGCTATTTTCAGCAACACAATTAAAGCTAGCCATAGAAAACTGAATTTCCTCTCGTTCAGCTTTGTGAGCTGAACGAGGTTAACCAATTGACTCCCCCGTTCATGTTAAACAGCGTGAATGAAGGAATTTCCGCTGCTGGCTATTTGTATTCTGATCACAATGACTGAATCTGATAGTGTGCAGTCGCTGTTCATTCAGTAATTTTCCACCCAGCTCAGTCAATTTTGAAATGAACTTTTTTGAAGCCGGGTGGTGCTTGCAGGTAGCCCTGCAAGCACCACCACAAGAATCATTTTGACCGATTTAGCAGGAATAGGCTGTTGTTCGAGCTGTCTATGGCCAGGCTGATAAACATGAAAAGCAGTCTAGACTTCCACCTGCTGGCTAGAATGTTCAACATTAAATATTTATAATAACTATTCCCTTTAAATATGCCCATAAAGCAGATATTGATATAATTGTACTAATTACTGAAAACCCTACAACATCATATAAATGTTTATATTAAAAAAAGTTATTAAAGCCCAACTCCAGGTGCACAAAACTCTCCAGTATTAAAACATATACACCCATTCTGCTGGCTTTATTCTAGACCTGTCAAATCTGTTCTTCAACATCCCGTTGGAAAAACAGCTCTAGAATAATTCGGGAATTGGAAAAGTGCAGAAATGTTACAGTATATTCTAAGTAACACCTAGAAATATTATTTGTGACTAAGCAGTTCACTGAAAAATAGCAGTGCTCTTCCTGGTATGTGAGTGTACCTAGGTACTCCTTGGCCTACAGCCTCATAGCTGTATATCTCCAATGTGAGATCTAAGGCACTGCTGCTTCTGACAGCTAGTCTCAGGAGATCTGGAGTGAGATTTGGTGATGTCACTACTGGGCTGATCACTGTTCTCTTTGCTGGAGGTTCTGACATGGGGAACCAAAGCCCTGCCTCTACCAAGATGGTCCCCTCCACACAGTGCAGGACACTAAAAAGTCGGGCACTAGGTCATGGACCAAGAGGCCGACAGTGTCAGGAGAGAGGAGGGGACCCGGAGGCATACCTCATCCCGCCGGGTGAACATCCCTCCCTCTCTCTGCCGGCGTCCATCACCAACATGGCCACCGGCAGGCATCAATCAGATGGTCGCGCATGCGCGATGACGACATGGCGGGACGCCCCTGGATCAGATGCAGGGAGATCACAGGCAATATTAGTGACTAGTCCTTTGCCCTCTGCCCGTCATTTTTTGGGCTCAGGTTCCAAAGTTCAGTTCCTCTTTAACTTTTGGAAGGCAGTTTTTGTCAAACCTGTCACCATGACATAATATATACAGCTGTTATAATAATATTACAACAAAACATGTGAAAGATCGGCATGTTTTCTTAACATCAGTTGTCATACCTTAACCTGACTGTTTATTCTGAAGTGAAAAGTCTCGTCCCAGACAGGGTCTCCATTGTTCCAGATTGTCTTGGTTCGCTTCTTATCCGTCAAGGATGTTGGCAGCCATAAACAAACATAGCAATCTGGTTTGGTCACTGCAGTGGAAATAAAACACAGAGGTTTGGTTCACAAATTTCTCTAAAGGAGATGCTACGATATTGTACTTGATACTCTACTTTATACTCCAAGCATATTTACTATATTTAAAACTAGGGATGCACAGATACTTTTCGAGTACCAGTGCAGATACTTGGCATTTTCATGAGAACTACCAGGGGTTGCAGCTGGGAACTGGCTCTGGCACTCCACCACTGTCCTGAAATCATTAGTCTGTATTGTTTTAGAAAAACTGTCACATGACAATAAACAAAAATGTATCAGTACTTGTACTTGTAAGTACTCGGCAAGTACCAGTACTTGTACTCGCAAAACTGCTATCTGTGCATCCCTTTATTTATATTTATAAAAACAAAATCGTACATTAAAACAGAGATGTACAAATCCCAGGAGCTCCGTGTGCTCCTTACAAATGACAGCTGCCTCCTAATTTTTGAATTTTTCTCTAGTCTAGTCTTGGAGCTCAAAAGTATCGGAACATGTACTCGTACTTGTACCGAGTACTGTACTTGGTATCTGTGCAACCCTATTTAAAACTGAACTAAAGTCCCAAAATAAATAACAAATTTCTAGAAGGTGGATCTTTTTAGCTGAATAGATATGCAAAGTCCTTTCCTCCATAGAAGTTTCTTCTTCCTACTCCTAGCATTTTTGAATTTTGTGTACACTGCCTGCGGTGCATGTGGAGTGCAGTGCACCTTCCAAGCCCATTCCCTGGATCTGTAAGACGCCAACATTGAGCTGGGTGCTGTGCATGTGCAGGAGTTACTTAATCACTGGCTGGACCAGGAAGATGCTGGTTCTAGAAGAAGACTGGCATAAGGACCGTGTCAGCGACTGGAGCAATGCAGGGGACCAGAAGCTGAACACACTAGAAGGTAAGTGTTCCTTGATCTATAAACATGCTGTGCATATTTGCATATCATGGCAAGAGCCCATGCATCCTGCAAGCAGTATCGTTTAATTTAGATGTATAAAAAGGCTAACAGAACCATTTATCTTTAGTGGATTTCAGTTTTGACCTATTGATTAATCTTGTACAATAAGAGTACAGTGTACTGATGAGAACAGAAAGGCGTGTATGGAAAAACACACACAATATGAACATGCTTGTATGTGTTTTCCTTTTCTAGATATCTTTACTACAATACTTAGCGTACTATAAACCAGCCGTCACTAAATAACAAACCAGGGTCCAGACTGAGTGGCAGTTCTGTCTGGACCATAATCAATGACCTGTGCTGGGTGATGGCTGTCTGACAGTGGATACAACAGCCTCCAAGGCCAGTGTTTCCAATGCCAGCCAGCATTGGAAACATTGGCATTGTTTCCAATGCCAACAGGCAGGGCCAGCTGCTACAATTGATCTGTTCTGCTGTACAGCCAGCCAAATCACTTGTAGTAGCCTGCTATTGTGCAACCCCCTTTTCCTGCACCCCCTCACCGCCATGGTTTTCAGAAGAGCAGGGGATCCGGGACCTATGCACACAGTGTCAGGATGGAGAGCGGGAGCACACCAGGGAACGTCCGATCTGCTCTGTGATCACTGAAGCATGAAGCACTCTCAGCACTTCCTGCTCCAGCTGTCAGAATTCGGCTGAAGTGCTTGATGATCTGTATTGGAGGGCAGAAGAGACATCAGAGGTCTAATAGACCTCGACGAAAATTGTCTTGAGTTTTAATCCACTGCCCCTACTAAACACAATAAACAACAGAAAAAAAAACCCTCAGCCAATGAAATGAGGTCTCAATTAGAATCTATCAAAAAGACAGTGGGAGGTAAGTGTAATGTTTTAATTAAACGTACCTCCATACTGTCCTTTCTGAACTAAAGCCAAAGTGTGGCAGTACAGTTAGCTCAATGCAGTCCATGGGGCCACCTTTTGCAGTAATTAATCCCATTCAGGGCATGATTGAGATAACTCCTTTTTGGACAGTTGTATGGGGGAGAGGACAGCACAGATGTAATTACCAAATTACCACCTTCTGTTGTCCTTTCCAAAGATATTTCATAGAACTCGGGAAAGTTTAAGGTTGTGTGATGTCTGAGCCCTTGTTTGAAATCATCCTTGAGACTGACTGTCTTTTAGTGGAGATTCTGCATTAGATAGCTCTTTAGTTCGGTGATTTTAATGAAGAATAATTAAATTTAATTAATTTATTATATATGTTTTGATAGTTTCTGCAGTACCTAGAAAGTCCCATAGAGGTTAATTTTCTTGTATTTGTACTGAGCTAATTGTTATGGATGATGGTATTCCAAAATGGAGTAAGGGCCGGTTCAGACAATAGTGTTGTGCTAAAGGAGCAGTACCTGTGTGTATAGTGCACGCTATCGCACATTGCAATGAACTACACCCTAGGTGCACTGGTGTATTGCATTGCCGTTCATCTGAATGCAACCCAAAGCACATCCCAGTGGGCGTTGCAGCTCAGCATAACACACGGTACTGCAGTAAAATGCAGAAGGGTTAAAACCCTCAGATTATTACTGTCTCCCCATCCAAGCTCACAGACAGCTATCAAAACTTAACATCGGTGTTTCTTTTTCAAAGCACATCCAAAAGATTTGCTTGCATCCGTTAGGAAAGGCCTGATAAATGACTCTAGTATGAATAAAACAGTGCTCACCAATGTCTGTCCCATGGATGTTCTGAGCCCGTATTATTCTCACAGTCAGTTCACAGTTTGATGCTTCCTCCTGTACATGAAAAAAATAAAAGATAATTATTTCTTATTTTCTTGTTGTGGTAAATTTATAGGAAATTTTACAATCAGATTATATCGTATAGGGTTGGGTTAGTCCTAAAAGGGGTACAATGCTCTACGCCAATATTCTGGGTGTAGCAAATGTTCCTTGTTTCATTACCTAATAACTTGTAAGATGTCACAAAAACTTGGGAACTAACATTTCATCAGATGACACAGAACAAACTCATACAAAACCAAAAAAGGTTGGTGGTCTGAGGGGGAGAACTAGTGGCAGCAACACTTGGTAGCAACACTTCTCAAAAAAGTTTAGACAAGGCCATGTTTACCACGGGGTAGGCTCCCCTTTTCTTTTAACAACACTCTGTAAATGTCTAGGAACTGAGGAGACCATTTGCTGGAGTTTTGGGAGAGATAAATGTTTGCCCATTCTGCCTGATATAGGATTCTAACTGCTCAACAGTCCTGGGTCTTCTTTGTCATTATTTTTGTTTCAAGATGAGCCAAATATTTTCAATTGGTGAAAGGTCTGGACAGCAGGCAGGTCAGATAAGCACCCAGACTCTACTACTATGTATCCATGCAAGTAATGTGGTTTAGCATTGTTCTGTTGAAATATGCAAGGCCTTCCCAGGAAAAAAACGTTGTCTGGATGGGAGCATATGCTGCTCTAAAACCTGGATATATCTTTCAGCATTGATGTGCAAGCTACCCATTCCATACGCACTAATGCACCTCCATACGTTCAGAGATGCAGGTTTGTAAAGTGAGCACTGATAACAAACCGGAAGGTCCCTCTCTTCTGTAGTCCAGAGAATGAGGTGCCCATAGTTGCCAAAATGAATGTCAAATTTAAACCCGACGACGGAACAGTTTACCACTTTGCACAGACCATTTTAAATGAGCTTTGGCCCAGAGAAGATGGCAGCGTTTCTGGATCATGTTCAGATATGGCTTCTTCTTTGCATAATAGAGCTTTAACTTGCATTTTTGGATGGCACGGCGAGCTGTGTCCACAGACAGTGATTTTTGGAAGTATTCCTGAGCCCATGCAGTGAGGTCCATCACAGAATCATTACTGTTTTTAATGAAGTGCCATCTGAGGAGCCGAAGATCACAGGCATCCAATATTGCGTTTCAGCCTTGTCCCTTGCGCACAGAGATATCTCCAGATTCTCTGAATCTTTTGATAATATTATGTACTATAGGTGATGATATATTTATAAGTCTTTGCAATTTTATGTTGAGGAACATTCTCCTCAAATCGTTCAACAATTTTTAGACACAGCTTTTCACAGATTGGTGACCTTCGGCCCATCTTACTCTGAGAAACTCTGACTCTCTAAGAGGCTCTTTTCATACCCAATCATGTTACTCACCTGTTGCCAATTAACTTAATTAGTTGCAAAACAGTCTTTCAGATCTTCCTTGTTGGTACCACTTATTTTGCCAGCTTTTGTTGCCCAGTCCCAACTTTTTTAAGGCGTGTTGCTGCATCAATTTCAAAATTACCTTTTTTTTCTTTAAATGGTACACTTTCTAAGTTTAAACATTTTATATGTTTTCTATTTTTTACTTTGAATAAAATCTGGGCTTATGAGATTTGCAAATCATTGCATTCTTTTTTTATGTAGGTTTTACAAAGCGTCGCAACTTTTTTGGAATCGGGGTTGTAAAACAGTGTTTCTGAGCCTTTTTTTAGTCATGGCACCTTTTAAAAATATGCAAAATCTCAAGGCACCTCAGCCTAAAATGTAAAAAATGTCAATGTACAAATGTAAAAAAAGTGTGATTTGCCAACTCTCCTCAAAGGAGTCTAGATGGAATTTAAAGGGGGACCCCTTCACATCAGGAGCCCCCTTAACATCAGAGTCTCCCCCTTTCACATCAGAAGCCCCACTCCTTCACATCAGGAGCCCCCTTCACATCAGAGTCTAGCCTTTATCAAAAATGTTGAGGCACCCCTGGCAAAGCCAGAAGGCACCCCAGGGTGCCACGGCACCCTAGCTAAGAAAGGCTGAACTAAAATACAGATAATACTTTCTGTTATTGTAATTGCCCTAAGGGTTTCCTGTATGACAAAAGGAATAAATAATAGAGTCAAAAAACCTAATCTTTTACATTGCAAACACCAACATTTTGAGATACCACAAACGGCTCAGGGGCTGCTGAAAAGCTCCACTCAATATACAGACAACTGGACAGCTGGTTACTTTGGCATCACAAAAAAATAAAATTTCAGACTGAGCAATTAAAAAATATAAATTGTTGTGGTTACAGTAGCTAAGAATAGCCCACGGTGTAGAATTAAGAATGTATTTAGTAATTGTTATATTTCATAAAACAGAAAATCGCTCGTACACTGTCATTAACATAATTGTGGGTGAATTGTGAAATACCATATGTCATTAGCTGACAGCACACTATGTCTTTTTTCATACCCAAGGTAGTTGCAAAATTCTGTACACGTGAAGACAAGGAAGGCACATGGCACTATAGATGACTTAATAAATCCAGTTTATAGAGCAGAGCAAGGATAACGTCAGGTTGGCATCTCATAGGTTCCTACAAAAGCTATCAGTCTTCAGAATAATAACACTCCTTCAGATATACATACCTCTCAACTTTCTGAGATGGGAAAGTGGGACACATTATAACAAGACATACAGTATGTGGGCAAAGGACACATCCCCACCACACCTTCAGTAACACAGACCATGGGGATTAATGTGAAAAAAAACTGATTGTTTAAAACAAAAAATGCTTTTATTTATCACTACATTTCCTTTATTTTGGCTTTTGAAAATAAAACATGGAATTATTTAATGGTTAGATAAAATTTAGTGCCGTAAAATAGGGATTTGGTTCTAAAGTCCCCCTAAATGAGGAGCAGTTGGGAGAAATAGATATATTTATTTATTACAAATATTTATCAACATTATATTATTTCCTGTATTCATTGAATACATTTGTGGCTTTGAGTCAGTCAAACTGTCCCATAGGTGGCTGCATTACCAATAGTAATACTTGATTCAATCACAAAATTAGATATAATTTGATAAAATTGTCCTGTACATCATATGGCCAAGGTAGAGGTTATTTATCGTGTATCTATAGTCAATGCCTTGTTTTTAGTGTTGATAAAGGAAGGGTAAGAACTGGTTTTTATTGCTGTTTTGCTCTTATTGGGAAGACTCACTCTTTCTATTTGTCCTGCTGACCATTGTCACTGGGACAGAAAGCGATGGGCAATCACACTTTTTACAGAAAAAGACACTGTAACAGAAGGTGAGAGTAAATCTATCAATAGGGATGTGTTTGTGTCCGGGGTGCCAAATGTAGAATGTGCTCTGCTTTGGGGGTGCCTTAAATTACTGATGAACAACTGAATCTTAAATAAGTGTTGAGTTTATTTTGCAAATAGGGATATACATACATTCTAATTACAATTAAGGGAAACGGAGAGGGGATTTGGAGGGGGTTAGTTGGGATATTAATTGATGTTAGCATCCTTCAGCTAGAAAAATCATTCTCTCTCTCATTCACACATGCCAGGCCTTTTCTCTGTGCTCAGAACACCCCTCTCCAGCAGGTCTCAGTGAATCACATTATTATCTTGTCCAAGTGGTCACCAAGGTTACCATTGTTCCTGCTTGTGAGCTAGGTTTGTGCAGATGATTACACGGGAAGAAGGTTCCATCATATGTCCCTGCCCCCATCCCAGCATGTATGCTGCACAGTGGCGGTCACAAGGGGGTTGCGGCCTGCACCTGGGTGTCACTATTTGAGGGGTGACACCAAAATGACTGACAGTCATTTTGGTGTAACTCCCTCTAAAAAGTCAGACACTCGGTCATGGACCGAGAGCCCGATAGCATCAGGAGAGAGGAGGGGACCCGGCGGCATACCTCATTTAGCCGAGTGAACGTCCCCACCTCTCTCTGCAGCGGCCATCACCAAGATGGCCGCCGTCAGGCATCAATTAGATGGTCGCGCATGCGCGATGACGTAATTGCGCACACGCGTAGTGATGTCACGTGCATGCGTGATGACGTCATGGCGGAGTTTCCCCCTCTCTTCGCACCCGGTGACACCCGCCCGCGGACGCCCCTGATGCTGCATTGCTGACACAGGTGTGGGCAGTAAATACCAGCAGGGGGTCTGGCTCGTCCCAGGAGATAAGACAGTCCTGCAGATCTTCATTCATCTGTGTCCTTCATCTGTGTCCTTTTGATGGTCCTCATTTGCGTATCACACAGCCCAATGCTGATTCAGTTCAGGATATAAAGGAACACCTTTATCCATAGATATTAATTTTATCGGCTCCAACAGGGGACACCATTTTTTTGCCAACAGTCACTTTGGAAAAATTTCCTCCCACTTCCTGCTTTGTCTTTGTTACAGGAAATGAAGGAAAATATCCTCAATAGCTGCTTTTAACTTTGCAGATCAGATTTACTACCTCTCACATATGTAGGGTTAGGTTTAAAACAACCCTTTGTTTTGATCCAGCTTAAATGATGGGCCACCACTATGATTTATATTGTAGATATATTGTTCCTGTAAGCAGAGGCTTTAGTGTACCAAAGTTAGGAATTTATGAATCGTGCATTGCTACTGCCTCATAAAAATGTCAAACAGTGTATGTATGAACTAAGTTATATGAAACACTGCAACAAATCCTCACGTTACAAGTTAATAGGCCTATAAGGTGAGCACAGAGGAATTTATGATATCACATGTCTAATGCCACAATGATACACAACACTGTCAGCACTCATTCAAGCACTGAAGGATTTAGATATCCGCCATATAACTGAAAATTCCATAAAGATCTGCAGTTTAAAAAAAATCATAGCAATGACATACATAAGAAGAGCTGTGTAGCATTCTGATGTAGCCTTTTGTGTATCAAGGTTGATCTTGTAAAGCATACATTTTATTTTTCATGTATTTGCCTTGCTCACAGCTCCCAGGAATGAGCTGCTAATTTTATTTTCCAACCAAAACTACAGTTTCTGACATCAGGTTGATAAAAATGGCAACAAACCATTTAAACAGGCTGCACAGTTGCACAAGTGCTCCCCGATAAACTGAATGTGGGTTGGCCAGGTATGGGACCCCTTCCCACTGACATGTAGACCTAAACATTGCACTCTCACAGGGGAGGTGAGAAGAAGATGCTTTTGTCACACTTCCCTGTGCAATGATCTGATGTTCTAACGAGAACACCGACCCAGTCGAATTTGCCGACCTCACCATCTGCACTTGCAGATGGTATTAACGAGGAAACAGGGATTTATTTACAAAGTATTAATTTTTAATTGTTAATTGTGACCATTGATAATATGCCACCCATGGCAGTAAATGATAATATCGCAAGCAATTACATAAGGCATCACACCTGCCTGCCTTTGAGTCCAGAATCTTGGTGCTGCATCCAGTTGTCTGTGCCTGCATGGGTGTGCAAGAGGGCCAAAACCTGGGAGGTGTCCGGCAGCGTAAAATCCCTACCTTCTGGAGCTCTGGTGAAGACCCAGCCATCCTTAGATCCTGCGTCTCTAGCACCTCCCCAGTAATGCACAGTGGCCTCAGTCCCTGGGTTTTCTTTGACCTGCACCCCAGGCATCACTTAAGCTCGCTAGTCCTAGCCCGCTCTATAAGCTCTGGAGCCTACCTTCCCAAGTGCCCCGGTTTCCAGACCATTACAGCTTTCTTTGTGATATCCTAACTGTGCTCCCGAATATGGAATATCCCATACCACCCAATGTTCTAATATAAGGACGAGGGACACCTTCCAGCACAATGTATTTAGGACATGCCCTTGCCGCATCCCCAGTTATGAGGACCATTAAGAATTTATATACCAGAAAAGATTGGTTAAACCCATAATTCACCAATACTTTTGCTTAATACTGACCTTAATACTGAAATAGCAAACAAGATAATTAAGAGGGAAGATGAAGGTTTTAGCACACTATAAAACTTTTGGTAGTTGAATAAAACCTTTTCATAGATACAAAAGACCAAAAAGAGGGACATTTGAGGATGAAAGAGGGACAGAGGGGTTTAATTTGTAAGCAGGACAGTCCCTCCAAATGAAGGACAGTTGGGAGGTACAGTATGATATCCAAATGGTTTTGGGCAGATGTGAAGAATGATTCTACTATTTCATTTGGACTAGAAGTAAAGGGTTGATCGCTGTATGACCCCAGCCACATATTATGAGAGAGTTCATCTTAGTACACAGGCTACTTATCTACCTATACACATTGAATAAGTGTTTGTAGTTGGGCAGTAGGTGGGCCCAAAATTGTTCTTGCAAAAGGTACATTTGCCAAACAGTGCAACAAGAAGAGTAATGGCCATGGTAGGGGGGCGCTGACCTGATAACATGCCTCACTGCAAAAGTTCTGGTGTGTTGTTACAAGGTGGTGGCAATTCAACCTAACTCCAATAATATAAGATGAAAATGAACCAGTGTGAAGCTAATGAGCTATCAAATTTTTATTGTGGAGTGTGACCTCGAGATAATTATTCCACATTAGGCATAGGCTGTGCACAACACAGGTGTCAGTAGCACTTACTCACATTTTACTAATCTGTTCATACAGCCATTATATTGTAGTGCATTATACACAGCAGCATACACATTTGCAAAGTATTTTTAAAACTTGTAGCAACTTTCTTGTATGTTCAAAGCACCCTTCTATTCCAGGATGGTTTAGCTGGCTTTTTAGCAATCTTTATTACTATTTGAAGCTGGCTTAAATCTAGAACCAACACCAATATTAGGATCTGTATTGTAAACGCTAGACTAAAAAACATCATGTACAATGAGTGTTTGCAAAGCATTCAGAACGCAGCTTTTATGAAGATCTTAAAGCAGCTTTTAGCTACCTTCTGGGAGTGGTAAATACAGATCTTAAAGTGGCATTAAACCCTCAGATTTTTTAACATAAACCAATACTGTAATGTGTGCCTTACTGTAATCCATGGTAGTTTCCCTTCTCTTTGCTGCTCTTCCTTTTAAATCCTCATGTCTTCTCATGCTTGGGGAGAACTTCCCTTTGCAGCTGAGTGCCTCTTCCTGTAGTGCTGGCTCAGGTTGTGAACCTTCACACAGACACCATGTATCCATTTCAGAGACAAGGCAATCTGCTGCAAAACAGAAGTTCTGCAGAGCATGAGAAGAGATACAGATTTAAAAGGAAGAGCAGCAAAGAGAAGGGAAACAACCATGGATTACAGTAAGGCGCACATTGCAGTATTGTTTTATGTTAAAAAATCTGAGGGTTTAATGTCACTTTAATGGGGAGTGTGGACTGTAGCTTTAAGCATTAACGCTTTAATAATTTATTATTAAGATTTACATCTAGCACCCCCACACTGTAGCTGAAGGCTGCTTTAAGGGCTTCAAGAAAACAGATTCTTAAAGCATTGAATTTGTTAGTGCTGACACCTATTTCCATCATTAAAACAGTTGTGAATAACTACTAAGATAATAATCGAAAGCAGTAATGCCTGTCTAGGTATAGATATCCACATTTACAATGTGGTCAAACTAAGCAAGCGTCTAAGAGCGGTACATTGAAAAGTATTACCCTCTTACTAACAGAATTTACACGCACCCATCCCAACTTATTCCAGTGGACCATGGACTCAATACACTAAGCCAGTGCTCCCCAACCTTTTTATCGCCTTGGACCGGTCAACGTTTGATAATTTTACCGCGGCCCGCTGAGGGGGGGACGTTGATTGTTTATATTTTAGATTGTTTTGATTTAATAATTTTAATTTGTGCTGTCAGTGCCATTATTTTCTAATGGCACCACAGGCGTGCCAGGCAGTTTGAGCGTTTTCCTGCTGCAATACAGCCCTGCCCGTGCGGTTGCACACAATCGCAGTTGAAAACACTGCACGTTTATTCGCGTGCAGATGGGGGCAGCGGGGCTGGTTTTCATTTATTCCATTTTTATTTACTTTGGAAACATTTTGTTTTATTATTTTATGTGGGCGGCCTGGTACCATTTGATCCACGGACCAGTACCGGGCCGCGGCCCGGGGGTTGGGGACCACTGCACTAAGCTATAACACATGCATTATTAACAGTCGTTATTTTGAGTCATGCCGCTATTTTTTCAGCTCTTCTCGGCTGTCATTGCCGGTAATAATAGTTATTATGGTTGATAACTGCAGTCATAGCTTAGTGAATGGAGCTGCATGTCTACATATGCCAGACATGAGACAGGCAGGATGAGGATATAGAGAAGGAAGAAATGCAAAGTGTAATGACAAGTGATATAAACTAACACTGAGAGGTGTATACCGTAACAGCAAAATGAAGGTGCAGTAAATATGATGCCAATGTGAGAGCACTTGCTATTGAGGTAATGAAAAATACTGTTTAAATGTGTTAGTGCTAGCAGTTTCACTAGGAGGGCTTTAAAAAATATATTGTGTACTGGGAACACCAGTGGTACAAGAAAAGAAAAAGCATTTCTAACCCCCCCCCCTCCCCCCCAAAAAAACATGATATTATATATTGCAGCTTACCAGTTCTTAGATGTGGTGGCTGCAATTGTTTTCTTCCTTTCTCAGTTTTTTCCCTTGGTGATCCTACCTGTAACACACTTCCTGCCCCAAGATGACAGCACTCACTCACTGTACCGTATCTATTGAGGGACAGTGTTGTCCTCCTAAGTTCCTCTCTCAATGAGGGCTACAAACACCTTATCTCCATTACATAGGAAGAAGGGGTTGTGTAGTTCACTGAAGACAGCTGGGAACACTGATAACATTGTTTGAGAGTTAAGTTTAGTGTACATATAGTTACAAAGACATTTGAATTCTGGAAAGATCAACATAGATTTTTCTGTACATGCTGAAAATCTACTTAACCTGAAAAAAAAAGAAAACCTATGCAGCCACCACATCTAAGGACTGGTAAGCTGAAATATATTACATTTCCGTTGCTATATATACTTTAGTGCTGTAACAAGTACCTAATGTGCTTAGGGTAAAACAACCATCAAGAGAAGAGACTATTATCATATCTAAGTTACCTACCTTGTAGTGACTTGATGGTGTATTCATCCTACTGAGAATTAAGTTCCATAAGTTTCCAAGGTGTATATGAGTCCAGTAATCCTCTACCTGTGCTTGCTGCTGTCTGATTGTGTCTGTGTAGAATGTCACTCTACACCCTCATGTCACCGTTTTGTCACATTTAACAATCCCTCCCATCATTACATCTCTTTTATTTAGCCTAGCTGTATTGTGATGACACCTAAATCATTCCTAATGTGTGAGTTCATACAAGGAAAAGCCATCTTAACCAGCACTGAGCCCAGGTAACCAAATAGATCACTGGGGTGGAGGCACTGTGTGGGTGTTTAAGTGGCATCACATAGAGGGTGACAGCTAAGAATGTATCTAATTTACATTAACTTAGCACATTATGGCAATTTTAGAGTTTCACAATTAATCAGTCAGTCATTAAAATAGTCCAAACTAATAGGTAAGCTATGTTTATCACGAGAATAAAAAATGATGTAATAAATAAACATAAAGGCATACACATATATATACACATTGCTTATCTTAGCTGGACTGTGTGGGTATTTTTGGTGGTCAAAAGGATTAGGTATTTTGGGTTGTGATAGCTGAACATATAAAAGTATGGACATCGGCACTCCAAGGATAGAAGTACGTCTATTTATTGACGCACATGCAAAACATGCTCATTGCGACGTTTCGGGGTCACGCAGGATCCCCTTCATCAGGCAGAACAAGTGAAATTGTGAATAAGACAGTGCAGATATGAATACACACCTATACATGTGAGCAAACCAATCATAGAGTCTGCTGTGTCCCCCGTGACGTCATTCTCCCGACAGAATTCAAATCATGTAATGACAGATATATATATATATA